CAAGAGACTGGAAAGTTTCAGTTACATTAGCTTCAAGATTAATTTGCTTCTGATAATAGCAATAAAATTTCAGAAAACAAATTAATGTTTAATTTAGAATTAAAAGTATGATAATAAAAAGGAAAACATTAACTGAAGAGTTGAAATATAAAGTTGAGAAATCTTCCGGAAATTAGAAAAAAAAGGTAAAGATATAGAAAATAAAAAATAAACATGAGGAAATTTAAAAATCAGCCCAAATGGCCCATAATTCAAATAATGGGAGTTCCAGAAAGATAAGATAGAGAAACAGAGGAGATGAAGTTATTAAGGAAATAATTTTGCATGGTTCCCATACTGTAAAGGGTTGTTGTGTATTTAGGAGAAAGCTCGGAAAATCAAGGCCTATCTTGTATAATCTGGGAGCACTGTGGAGAAAGAGAAGATTCTAAAAATATACAGAGAAGGAAAAAATAGTCGTATGTGAAGTTTTGGAATCAGAATAGCTTTAGACTTTTCATCGATAGCACCAGAAATTAAAAGAGAAGGGAGCAATACCTTCAACATTCCCAGGGAAAACTACAACCTATAACTCTATATTCAGCCAAAATGTTAGTTAAATGTAAACATTGAATTTTTAAAATATCAGACGTGCAAGGATTTAGAAAGTTTATAACAAGTATTTTTTGAAGGATAAGTGAATTAATATTCCTTCAACATGCCAGAAAATTTGTAAATACTGTTTAAAGTTGATAATCAAGAAAGGTATAAAACATGGGATTTACAGATTTTCAACTAACCACCAGAGGAAACCTCATAAGACTTCAAAGCGATTGGGAGAATTAGAGGACCGGGGAGCGTCTGCGGATTGACTCGTGTTCTATCTTGTACATTTTGTAGTATTCGATTTTTTAAACCATGTATTAATTTGATCAAAAATAATTTTATTTGGAAATCAAAAAGGAAGTGAATGGAAAGTGAGATGTTGAAAACAACAAGTATAACAGAGTTAGAGATAGAGGCGGTGGGAGGGTGAAGCATTTACTCTGTGCTTGAGAGTGTTCTTTATACATATGAAGCTCTTTATTTCTCACAATGACTGAAAGAGAGAAATATCATTATACCATTTTAGAGATGAGGAAACCGAGGCTCAAGGAAATTAAAAGAACTTGCTCAAAGCCACGCAGCTGGGAACTTGCACTATTAAGGCTGAATCCAAGCCTGTCATGTTCCACTACATAACTCTGAATGCTGGCAAACAGAAGAGAGATGTTTATATCGGGACCTAGCATAAGAGAAAGACAGCGAGTTTTTGATAGCAGAAACACAAAAATATCAATGTGAGTTGAAGGTAAAGAGTCACGAGAGGCCAAGAATTTCAAATACGAGAGAGAGAAGGAATAATTGAGCTGAGCCTTAGAAAGTTTGGGGAGAGTAGCACAGTGATATGGGCAAGAGTTTACCTGGGAAGGAGTAAAGCTGTGGGAGGAGGTACAGGTGGGTTAGTTGTTATTAATAGAACTTAGAGAGGAGGGAAGTTGAAGTGGTAATAATGGTTTCTCCATGAAGTAGGAGGCTAGTTTTCCTCCTATGAATAAATTAGTAAGGGGAGTGTTGGCTCTTTACAAGAGGTTGGGGGGAGGAGAGGAAGTTGGAATGTGACTGGGGCATTTAAGAAAGAGAGTAGTTACTAGATGTAGCAAATAAAAATACGGCTCACCCAGTTAAATTTAAATTGAAGATAAACAACAAATATTTTTTATATGTCCCAAATATTGCATGGTATTTTCTCTGGCAACCCTTAAAGAGACACCAAAGCATGCATAAAGGACAGTAAAGCTGCTTTGAAATCACAAGTTTGGAATGGAGCAACCTCAGTGTGACTTGGTAATCAAAGGGTAACCTCGGTGCCATGGGAAGTAAGGTAGAAACATTGGGCTTGGCTTCCAGGCAGCAGTGGAAAGGGAGCTGGGCTAACAGCCAGGAGATAGCTTGAGGATGCAGTTCTTACAGTCTCTCCTGAGAGTAGTGGGAAAAGACATGTGTGGGAACCAGAGATTTGGAATTGGCAGGAAAGCCATTGCTGCAAATAGCTTTGCCTCCTTTCTTATTTTGCCTGAGTGGTCATCCGCATTTTATATCTCATAGGTGTCTAGTAAGGATGAGATTTACTAAATAATCATCTGCAAAGTATTTGAGCTCTTTGAAACATTGGATCAGTATTAAACGTTGTTCTCACCAACAGTATTCATAAGAAAAGGACTGACTTACCGGACATAATTCTTTGACATGTTTGAGGTTTAACGTGGTGGTTTGGAGTAGTGGTTAAGAATCTGTAGCCTGTCTATGGTCACAGCCCACATTAACCAATCTGCTTAATATGTCTGGGACTCAGTTTCCTTGTCTGTAAAATTAGCATAAGAATAATACCTAGCTTGTCATCGTAAGGATTAAATGAGTTAATATGTGTAACACCTAGAATCTGGTACACAAATACTAAAACTACAACCTTACATTGGATATTATAGGTGGTTAATGAGAGATTTTTATAAAAATTCATTAGACTCCCTTTGTATATACTTTATATACATAAATAGTCAAGAAATCTGTGGTTTTAAACAAGACATACATGGCAGTGGGGATAGATAAGTAGGCGAGCACAGAGGACTTTTAGGGCAGTGAAAATACTCTGCATGATCTACTTTAATTCCTCTCCCTTTAAAGAAAACCCATAGTGGGTGGGGTGGAGTTTGACAAGTCCCCACATTTGATGGATACATGTCATTCTACTATGGCTCAAATCCATAGAATGTACAATACCAAGAATAAACCCTAAGGTAAACTACGGACTTTGGGTGATAATGTGATAATGTAGGTTCATCAATTGTAACAAATGTATCAGTCTGGTGAGTGATGTTGATAATGGGGGAGGCTATGCCTGTGTAGGGGCACAGGGTATATGGAGAAAACTTTGTACTTTCTACCCGATTTTGCTGTGAACCTAAAGCTGCTCTTTAAAAAAGTACTAATAACAATGAAGTGGTAAATAAAAATAAAACAGGAAAGCATTTCCACATACATACACAAAATGCTTCATGACAAGAATAAATAAAGGACATTCGTTAGTACACTCTTGTTGCAAGTTTTACCTGCAAAGGACGTTCATTAGCATATCTTACTATATATTTTATAGACATATATAGTCAAGAAATTAGTACAAATTTAAAACTTTAAAGCTAGAGATTTGCTTCCCTTCAGGAACATAACTTTCAACTCCTTAACTGTTTATTGACTGAAAG